TTACGATTTTCCATGAAATCGAATGTGGCAATCCGATTCTAAGAAGGAAGCAGCAACGAAAAACACACAAGCAATTTCATGGAAGCTGTGATCAAAATCAGAGATTTATGGATTAAACAAAGAATAACAAAAGGTGTTAAACATACTTACATAGTTGCATGTCAGTTTATCCTTCGCGATACGCAACCTTCTAATATATAAAGCATAGTGTTATCATACAACAACAAAATTAGCTTTGAATGAGAAAAAATATATATCTAAAGACTACTACCTAGAATGACACTGCAGTAACATTTGATAAGAGAACCACTGTCAACAATTGCGATTTTAGTTCCCATATCTGATATCGATATTATTAATACAAATACAATTCCCTGTAAATTTTTTATCAACAAAAATAGCACAAGAAGAATGTGATCAAAGACTTGCATCTGTGTTAGAACCACCACCTCCTCTCTTGTTTCCTGTTGTGTTCTTCAGAATCTGCACCCAAATAAACAACACAAAACTTGTTAATAACCATAATTACCACACAACCCACAGAGAATCCAACTTTGCATTCTCATCTTCCCCATCACTTAAACATACAAATTAGACAATGATCACAGTGAAATGAGCATTCCAAGAAACCATTAAAGAATCTACATACACCTCTTAGAATTCATCTCAAGCTTAAGATAGCTCCTTAGTCCTTTTTATTTACTAAACCAATTGGTGAATGAATCACAGGTTTGCAAAATTCATCATTTTTTTCCAGCAATGTCACATTTCAGACACACAATCAAAACAAAAACGTACATGTCTAAGCATCTGATTCTCGTTCTGCAAAGTAGAAAGTCTTTCTTCAAGTTCAGAGTTTCTGTTCTCCAAGTCTTTCACTCTGTTTTCCAACTCAGACAAGTAAGCTTTTTTCCTCTCTCTTGCTTGTTGTGCTGAAACTCTATTCCTCAACAACCTTTCCTTACACGAAATTACGAAAATAACCCCCATCAAGCAAACCTTCATTTACCAAAACTCAAAGGGTAAAAATGTAAAATTGGACACCTCTTAAGCCGCTTGGTCTCTTTCTCCGCCGGACTCCTCCCTCGCTTCCTTTGACTTTCTCCGACCGTCGTCTGTGTCCGCTCTTTCCCTGTCGCTGATCCAGATTCCCGACCGGAAGTTTCTTTTCCGACAGCTTCTCCTCCGAACTCCGGCACTCTCCGTATCTCCTCGTCGCTTTCTATTCCTGAGACGTAACACAAAGAGAGAGACTTTAAGACGAAAAGCATAAAACTTTTAAGCATACAATTGAAATTACATATCTTCTTCTCGATCTCGAGAATTTTGTCGGGGAGACTAAAAATCTGAGGACCCAATTGAGAAAACCAATGCATGGGGCTAAAAATCAATGAGATCATTCGTTGGGAGAAGGAAAAAATCGAAACTTTTATTTGACCTTCTTTGATCTCTAAATGTGGAGCAGAGCTTGAAGATCTTTCACTGCTTGATGGTAGAGAGCTTGCAGCTAAAGAGCTAGTAGCTTGTTCCTGCATTTTCCTTGAAATTTGTTTAATCAACCTTTGAAGATAGAGAGAGAGACTGGGATTTACAGAATCTGGTGAGGAAGATAGAGAGGAAAAGAGCGGGACTTGAGATTTTACAGAGTTGGAAGAATCTAATCGTGAGTCATTTTGGGAAGGAATAGATTGGTCTGGTCAGAGCCGTCAGATCGGAGGAGGATCGGACGGTTTTAAAGAGTGAATCGTGGAGGAATATGAGCCTTGAGGAAATACAAGGATCTGAAGGCAGTTGAGATAGGAACGTGGGGAGAGATGAACCGTTGGATCTGATTAGCATCTTACGGTGAATAATGGATAGTGAGATAAGGAAAAGTGGACCCCATGTCTGTACATGACAGAAAGTTTGGTGATAGTTCTTTCATTCTGCCATGTGTCCCCACACCTAGAGCATTGTTTTCAAACTGTATTTAAATGTGAAAATAATTTAATTGTATTTTTATTTCTTTGTCCTTCATTTGAAATTTAGTATGAGTGAACATGCATGCTCCCTCGGATTTGCTAGCACAAATAGAGTTTTCTGTAAGATTTTTGAGCATAATCTCCATTTTTTGCAAATGATTAAACAAGAATAGGAATGGACATTAAAGAACATATTGGACCGGATTTTGTTAACCAAGATTATTTATAAAATTTTGATTAGGTCTAAGAG